CCTCCTGCTGCTGCAGCAGCTGCTGCTGCTGCTCCTCCTCCTCCTCGCCGCTGCTACTACTACTACTGCTGCTGCTGCTGCTGCTGCTGCTGCTGCAGGTAGCCGCGCTGCCAACACGGCAGTCAGTGTGGGTGCACCAGCCATGGCGGTTTTATGACGAGGTGTCTGTACACCTGGATGCATGCGCTGCGCTGCTGCACCTCGACGTAACAGACGCAGTGCTGCGGCTGGTCTCAACGCACCCCAAGACATCCAGCAGCAGCAGCAGCAGCAGCAGCAGCAGCAGCACAATGCGTGAGAGCGGGAACAGCGTGGCTGTGGAGGTGCTGCAGCGCCTCGACATGCTGCTGCAGTACGTTGCTGGCAGCAGGTGTTTGTACACCCTGCTGCTGTCTATATTGCGGCTGCGATTTCTGCATTCTTTGCTGCCTGTGGGGCGCTTCCGAATTGCAATAAAGAAGGCAGCAGGAGGCAGCAGCAGCAGCAGCAGCAGCGCTCCAGCCATCCCCCCCAGCCCGGCCACGGCCCAGCAGCAGCAGCAGCCGCTCGACCTAGAGACAGGAGATGCTGCAGCAGGTGCTGCTGCTGCGACTGGCTGGGGCGGCGGCCTCGGCGGCCACTTCATCCCTATTGAGAGCGTAGCGCAGCAGCAGAATCAGCAGCAGCAGCAGCAGCAGGCAGCAGCACAACGCGCTGCAGTAGAAGCAGTTGCTTCGGGCCCCAGCTGCGAGGCCTCGCCGGCACCTGACGGACGCTCTCCCAGTGCAGCAGCAGCAGCAGCAGCAGAAACTCGGGGACCCCTGAGCAGCCCCTCGGCCGCTGCAGCAGGTGACGACCCCAGCAACAGCAGCAAAAGCAGCAGCAGCAGCAGCAGCAGCGAGTACTGCGGCGTGGAGTGCGAAGCCGTGTGGGGTACTGTCCGTTTGCTACTGTTTGCTCGTGCTGCTTTTCTCTTCGGCGAAGCAGAAACAGCAGACCCTCAAGCTGCGTTGGCCCAGTTTGCCCTGCATGCAGCGCAGTAAGCCTCTGCTGCTGCTGCTGCTGCGGGCTAGTGCTGCAGTCTTTGCTGCTGGGGCTGGGGCTGCAGCCTTTGCTGCTGCTGCTACCTTTGTTGTCGCTTGGGGTGCTGCTGTTGTTGCGGGTGTCCTACTGTGCCTGTCTAGGGTCTTATGATGCTGCTGCTGCTGTTGCTGCTGTTGCTGTTGTTGCAGTGTGGGACTTGACGACGAGGATTCGCCGCAGTTGCAGCAGCTGCTGTTTGCAAGGGACACCAGAGAAGAGCTCCGCAGCTGCAGGGTCAAGGTGAGCAGCGATGTTGCTGCTGCTGCTGCTGCTGCTGTTGCTGCTGCTGCTGCTCTGCTGCTTGCGAGACTGCGGGCGCTGCTATATCTGGTGCTGCTGCATGCAGCAGCAACAGTAGCAGCGCGTGGGGCGGCAAGCTGCACCTCTTCGACAAGAATGCTGACGCTACTGCTGCTGGCGCTGCTGCTGCTGCCACCGTTGCTGCTGCTGCCGCTGCTGCTGCTGATGCTGCTGCTGTTTGCAGTCCAGCGGCGACCTGCTGGACGCCTCTTTGCTGCTGCTGGCGCCCCCCGTGCTTCGCTGCTTGTCGCGGTGTCTCAGCAGCAAATTGCTGCGGCAGCCTTCGCAGCATTCTTTTTGTTCTTTGGGCGAAGATGCAGCAGCAGGTCAATTCCTGGGCCTCACGCTGCTAGGTGAGCGTTTTTGCTGCTGCTGGAGAAAGCCGTGCTGCTGCTGCTGCGCATGCTGCTGCTACTGCTGCCCATATTGCTGCAGCTGCGGCTGCTGCTGCACAGGGTGCTGCTGCAGGGACGCTGCAGCCAGTTTCTGAGTCTTTTGTTTTTTCTGGATCTTGTATTGCCTATACTGCTGTTATTCTTACTCCTGCTGCTGCTGGTGCTGCTGCTGCGCATCAGGGCTGTCCGCGCCTTACGTGGGTCTCATGAAGTTTTTGCTGGAATCCCCTCCGACTGCTGCTGCGCTAGCTGTTGGGGCCCAGCTCAGTTCGCAGCAGCAGCATCAGCAGCAGCAGCAGCAGCAGCAGCAAACGAGGAGCTATTTGAAGCCGAGCCACGCCGAAGGTAGCGGCAGCAGTAGCAGCAGGAGCAGCGGCAGCAGCAGCAGCTGCGGTAAGAGCAATCATGAGCCGCAGCAGCCCGCAGCGCAAGAACTGCATATCCCAGCAGCAGCAGCAGAACCGACATGCGCAGCAGCAGCAGCTGCTGCTATAGGAGCTCGGGACTTGAAAGGCAGTATATTTGATGAGGGCAACGAGCACGAGACCCCTTTTGCTTCCCCCGCTATACGGTCAGCAGCACCCCCCGCAGCAGCATCAGCAGCAGCCGCAGCGGGACCCGTGGGCTTCCCCCCAACCCGCCCCTTCAGGGTAGTTGCTGCTCACCCGCATGCAGACGCAGCAGCAGCTTCCGCCGCTGGTGGTGTTGCTTCTGGCACGGGAAGAAACAGCAGCAGCAGCAGCAGCACCCACAGCAGCAGCAGCCACACCAGCTATGTTCGCTCCAAGCGGTCCCTCTCAAGCAGCGAGTTGGCCCCGTTGGGACGCCCACGGAGCGGAAGCACTGGGGAGCAGCAGCACCTGCAGCAGCACCAGCACCAGCATGCGCAGCAGCAGCAGCAGCAGCGGCGGCAGCTGGCCATTCCTCTTTCGCGGGTGCTGCAGCACGTGACAGAAGGGGCTGCTGCTTCGCAAAGCTCGCGCGTCTTGGCAGTGGTTCAGGACTGCTTGAGGCATCAGCTAGCCCAGGACGGCGCAGCAGCAGCAACAACAGCAGCTGCTGCTGCTGCAGCGCCTGCAGCAGCAGGCAGCAGGGGCGTCGTCGTTGGCTATGAAGCCTCGCTGCTCACTGTTTGCTGCCCCACTTCTTTTCTTTCTGCTTATCTTCCGCCCTTTGCTGGTCACGCGTGGTCAGGTTTGCTGGCGAGTTTGCTGACGCTGTTTGCTACTGAGCCGCAGCAGCAGCAGCAACAGCAGCAGCAGCAGCAGCAGCAGCGAATTGCCGCGCTCGCCAAAGCTATCATCAAGCAGCAGGAACAGCTGCAGCAACAGGCAGTACCCCCGAGAGGATGCATGCAGCACACGCTGCGGCTGCTGGGGCGGTGCGCCCAGGCCCTTAGTGCAGCTGCTGCTGCAGCAGTAGCAACGGGAGCAGCAGCAGCAGCAGATGCGTCGGACGGCCTGCGTGGTGCGTCTCCCGCAACAGCCGCTTTCGGCGCTGCTTCCGACACGGCAGCGCCAGCAGCAGCAGAGCAAACTACCCCGCTGGCAGCAGCGGGACCAGCAGCAGCAGCAGCAGGAGCAGCAGCAGCAGCCAAAGGGAGCGGCGCAGCTCCTCTTGCTGCATGCGCTCTTTTCTGCTCAAAACTCAGAGTGGCTCTCTTGTCCGTAAACGACGAAGACGTCTGCCGCCGCCTGCTGATGGCTGCCAACACTGAGTTGCTGCTGTGCAGACTGGTTAGCCCAAACCCTAAACCCTAAACCCTAGGCTCTGATGTCTGAAGCAGAAGAATAATGCTCCGGTTAGTGAGGGTGTCTGCTGCTTCGCGCAGTGTGCATATTGAGCTGTAGCGGGAGTTTAGGGCACTGCGGCTGCTGTTTTGCTGCTGCTGCTGCTGCTGCTGCGTACGTGCAGCTCCTGCTGTGCCTGCCGGGCGACAACTGCGCGAGCGTTATGCACCGCCGGCTGCTGCAGCACCAGCTGCTGAAGACAACAGTCATGAGAGATGCCCTGACAGTATCTTCCTTGAAGCGCAAGTACAAGCAAGCTGCAATGGTGGCCAGGAGACCTGCTGCTGCTGCTGCTGCTGCTGCTGAGGCCGTCGCTGGCGCTGCTCCCGGGGCTGCCGCTGCAACGAGGCCCGCTGCGGGTACTGCGCCAGGCACGCCCGCAGTGAGCGGGCAGCAGCAGCAGCAACAGCAGCAGCAGCAGAGCGTGCAGCAGCAGCAGCAGCAGCAGCAGCAGCAAACGGGGGAAAAGAAGGCCGCCTACGCCGCGTTGACTCCTCAAGGCTTTCTTTGCCACGAAACCCTCGAGTTGGATTTCCTGCAGCTCTTTGAGAAGAAAGAAACTGTCAGACTTGCCTTCGTTCCGGTCAGCTCTGCGCGCCTACAGTCCCACCGTGCAGCTAGCTAGCTAGCTAGCCAGCTAGCTGGCCAGCCTTTGACTAGCTGTCTGGCTAGCTATCTGGCCGGCTTGCTAGCTAGTCAGCTAGTCTGCTGGGTAGCTAGCTAGCTAGCTAGCTAACCACCTGGTGTCCTTAGACGGGCCTGAAGACGGCGGCTGTACAGCTAGCTGCGCAGTTGTAGCAGTCGCTCGGCAGCTAGCTGGGCAACTAGCTGTTAAATGGCTAGCTAGGTGGCTAGCTGCCAGGTGGCTAGCTGCGTAGGCAGCTGCTCAGTGGCTAGCTGGGCAGCCAGGCATCATACCGCTAGCTAGCAGCTTGCTGCTCAGTGGCTAGCTGGGCACCTAGCTGTCTGGCAGCTAGTTGGGCGGGAAGGGTGCGGGGGTCTAGCTCAGACGGAGCAGCTAGCAAGCTACCCAGCTGTCCATCTACCTAGCTAGCTAGCCAGCTAGCTAGCTAGCCAGCTAGCTAGCTAGCCATGGGGCTGTTGGAACTCTGTTTGGTGTGTGCGCAGGGCCGGCTGGTCAGTCCGCTGCTGCTGGACGCCTCGCGGCACTTATTTGCTGTTGCTGAGTGGGCCTTTCCGTTTCCTTACTATTCGCTGCTGCTGCTGCGGGTGGGTCAGCCGCAGCTGCAGGCTGCTGCTGCAGCGCAGCCTAGGCTCTGCTGCTGCAGCGCCGCCCCTGTTTTGCTGCTGCAGCGCCTCTCTTGGTTTTGCTGCTGCAGCGCAGCCCGGGCTCTGCGCAGCTCGGGCTCTGCTGCTGCAGCGCTGCCTGGGTTCTGTGCAGCTGGCGGACCCCAAGGGGGTTTGCAGCAGCAGTGAGCGCGCATCTGCTGCTGCTGCTGTGTTCTGCTTCTGCTGCTGTTTCTGCTGCAGGAAGCAGCAACGCGCCGCCTGCTGGGCATCCCACGGGCCATCGCCGCTATCGGCAACCTCAAAAGGCAAGCTCCCTTTTGCTGCTGCTGCCAGCTGCTAATGTGGCAGTCAAGCCAGCTGCAACCCCACATTTTGCTGCTGCTGCTGCTGTTGCTTGTGCTGCTGTACTGTTCCGCTGTGCAGATTGGCAGCCGACCGCTACGCTGCTGAGGGATCTTATTCTGTGGTGGTGAGAGCAGCAGTAGCAGCAGCAGTAGCAGCAGCAGCGGAAGCTGTTGCAGCACCTTAAAGCCCTAGCCTCAGTGTCGTGTGTTCGTGCTACTGCTGCTTACATGAGGCTTTTGCTTCTAGTTTGTTTTTTTCTGCTGCAGGCAGCGGTTTTCTCTTCTGCTGCTGATAGCGCTCTGGAGCTGCTGCGCCGATCAGTTTGACTGGGGCCAGCAGCAGCAGCAGCAAGAGCTGCAGCTGTTGCTGCTGCTCGCGCTGCAACGGCAGCAGCAGCAGCAGGACAGCAGCATCGCTGCAATTTTTGTGCCTGTACAGACAGTGTTGGGGGATTGCTTGCACTAGGGTATATTTCTACTGCAGCGAAAAGAGCTGCAGCAACAACAGCACGGGTTGCTGTTGCTGAAACAACAGCAGCAGTCGCAGCTGCGACCGCAGCAAGAGTAGCAGCTGCTGTCGACGAAAAGACTGACGCTGTCTCCTGTCAATCTAAACTGTAGAGCGTGCAGCAGCAGCGGTTTCAGCAGCAGCAGCAGCGGTTTCAGCAGCAGCAGCAGCGGCTTGAGCAGCAGCCACTGCTTGCTGCTGCTCTCCTGCTGGGGCCTCAAGGCAGGTGCGACGAGTCGCCGTCGCCGCCTTTTGTTTTGCTTCGATTAGGGACGCAAATAGCTCATGTGCTGAAACCCGTGTTTCTGCTGCTGTTGCTGCTGCGGGTACTTTGCTGCTGCTGCGGCGGCTGCCGGTGCTGCAGTTGACTCCCTGCTGCTGTCGCTGCTTGGCTGCTGTGGATTTTCTGCTGCTTCTGCTGCGAGTGCTGTGCTGCTGCTGCTGCAGCTGCAGCTGCTGCTAGACGTGCCAGGCGCCGCGTAGAGCCAGCAGCAGCATGTGCATGCACTGGCGCTGCCTCTGGGTTTGCTGCACTGGGTAGATCAGCAGCAGCAGCAGCAGCGACCTTGAGCCGAGTTGCTTTCCCAGTGCCTGACTTCGGCTTTGCTTCTTTTTCCCTGACTCTTTCCTGCCTATTGGCTGCTCTTCAGTTCTTTCTGCTGCTGCTGCTGCTGCTGCTAATTCTCTAGTTCTCTGTCACCTTGGCTGCCTAAGGACATTGGCGCCTTTCTTTTTTTTGTTCGTTTTTGGGGCCCCGTAGGGGCCCCTGGGGGCCCAAAGGGGGCCCCTAAAGAAATATTTTTGGCTCCCTTTGGGGGGCCCCTTATGGGGCCTCTTGGGGCCCTTCGGGGGCTTCTAAAGGGGCCCTTTGGAGCCGTTTTGGGGGCCCCTAAAGGCACTCTTTTGGGGCCCTTTAGGTAGCCCCTCTAGGGGCCCCCTAAGGGACCCTTTGGGGGGCCCCTCTAGGGGCCCCCTAAAGGGCCCCTGCGCTGCTGCGAGCGGGGGGGCGGCTCTGGCTGGCTGCTGCTGCTTTCCCTCAGGGCTGCTGCTGCTTCTTCTCTGGGCTGCTGCTGCTTCTTCTCTGGGCTGCTGCTGCCGTATGTCAGTTTCCTGTCTCCTGTCTTTTGCATGCAAGTCAGACCCCACAGATATATTCTCTGCTGCGGGCCTCCGTGGCCCCTGCTGCCTTCAGTCTCAATAGCTTCTTTCTCCTCCCTTTTGTATTTTTACCTTTTCGTTTTCTGTTTCCTTTTTGTTTCTCTTCTTCTCGTCTTTGTCTCTGCCGCTTTCTGCTCCTTGCCATTGCAGCTGCTAGGGTGCTGCTGCTGCGCTGCAGCAGCAGTCAGTGCAGCACTCCCAGGGGGTATGCAGCCACTGCTGCTGCTGCGCTCCAGCAGCAGTCACTGCAGCAGCCTCAGAGAATCTCTAGCCTCTGCTGCTGCTGCGCTGCAGCAGCAGCAATCAGTGCAGCAACTGGGGAGGTCTCTCCACTTCCAGTGCACGAAGTTAATCTCCCTTTGCACCCAGTCAGTTCCCCGGCGGCCTCTGCTGCTGCTCCTGCTGCTGCACTGTAGCAGCAGCTAGTGCAGCAGCCTGAGGGGGTCTCTCCATTTCCAGTGCAGAAAATTAATTTCCCTTTCCATCCAGTCAGTCATTGCTCCTGCTGCTGGATGCAAACAGTGCAGGTTTTCTCTCAGCTGGTACAGATCGCTGAAGCCCAGCAGCTGCACGCACGCCCCAGCCACACTCCCGGCCCTCAGCAGCAGCAAACGCCAGATGCTCCCAGCAGCAGCAGCACCAGCAGCTGCTGCTGCTGCCGCTGGGAGAGCGCGGGCGGCGCGGCAACTCCCCATAGTCTGCTGCTGCTGCTGCTCTTCAGCAGCAGCGGAAGGAGCAGCCTAGCTACGCACCCTCTGCTGCCTGTCGCTGTCTAGCTCCTGCTCTGCCCATCTGTCTGCTGCTACTGTTGCTGCTGCTGCTGTGTTTCGGGTTTTGGGGGCACTCACAGTGGAGGTCACGAAGGGGCGAGACAGCACCCACTTGAGGGCCACGGGCGTCAAGTTCGGCTGCTCGAAGCGCCGTGCCAAGTAGAAATATTCCTTGACAGCCTTTGCAGCCATAGAGCCCCTGGCAGACAGCAGCAGCAGCAGCAACAGCAGGTGGTGTGGCTGCCCGCCCCGCTGCAACCCCAGCAGCAGCTGCTGCTGTGCAGCCCGCCCTGCTGCAGCGGCAGCAGCAGCCACTGCAGCAGCAGCAGCAAGCAGCCCCGCTGCAGCCCACCTCAATCGCCGCATGTAGGAAGGGAAGCGCAGCAGCCGGCCAGCTGTGGGGTACTCGAGCCACTCCAAATACTTCCCAGTCAACAGGCCGCCGGCCAGCGCCCCGTAGGCCACCAGCGAGACCCCTGCGCGCGCCGCCGACCGAGGGTCTAGCGTTTAGGGTTTAGGGCCCAGGGTTTAGGGTTTGCGGTCTAGGGTGTGGGATTACGGTTTGGGATTCAGGGTCTAGGGTTTACGGTTTAGGGAGCCGGGGCTGCAAGACGCAGCGGCTGTAATGTCTACAGTTTAGGGTTTCGGGGCAGACTCTGGGCTCCGGGGTGAGCGTTTTGAGGGTTTAGGGTTTATTGCCAACAGCGTGCTCGGCTGCTGCGCTGCAGCTACTGCTGCGGTGCGTGGCTGCTGCCATAAGGCCGGCAGTAGCAGCAGCAGCAGCAGCAGCAGCAGCAGCAGGCCCAGGAGTCTTGCCTGCGTTTTGAGGCCTGACGGCCTCTACAAACTGCTTCTCCACGTCATTCCGCAGCAGCAAATTGTAATGAACTTGACAAGCAGCTGGAGGAGGCAGCCCCCTCGCCTTGGCTAGCTGGCAGAAGCGCAGCAGCCCGTAGACAGTCTCGTTGCAGAGGCCCCACGCCCGAATCTGAAACGCTCACAGCCACGCCGCACCAGCTGCTGCTGCTGCTGCTGTTGCTGCTGCTGCTGCTGGCCCGGCGGGGGGCTAAAACGCCGCCTCGCGGCGTTTTGGCCGGCTGGGATCGTGCGATGCCAGGGCAGTGGGGTGCTGCTGGTGCAGCGGAGCGCATGCAGCAGCAAATGCGCATTACTTACCTTGCCGTCTCTTAGCAGCACCTCCACTGCGTCCAGCCACGCCTCCATGGACACCCGGTGGTCCTGCGTCTCTGTTGCTGCTGCAGTCTGGCAGCAAACGCATACAGCCCCGCAGCAAAGCACTCAGCACGAGCAGCAGCACACAGCCGGCAATGCAGCAAAATGACACAAACACCCTAAGAATCCCTCCAGCAGGGAGGTCCAGCAGCAAACGCTCCAAGGCTCCCGCGGGCTGCAGCGGCAGCAGCAGGCTGCTGCTACAGCGTGCTGCAGCAGCAGCTGCAGACTTCTGCTGCAGGCTGCTGGTGCAGGTTGTCAGGAGCAGCAGCTGCTGCTGCGACTCACGGGGATATCGTAGAGGACCTGGTGCGGCTCTCCTGTCTCGTGGCGCGGCACATAACGCTGCGGCCAGTGCAGCTGCAGCAAATCCACGTAAGTAGTGCCCAGGCGGCGGAGGCTGCCTTCTGCAGCTTTTATAACATCCTCTGCAGCCAGGCCCGCCGCTCCGCTGCTGCGAACGAGAAGCAGCAGCAGCAGCAGCGCAGCAGCAGCAAAAACCGTTCTCAATGAAGAGCAGGAGCGCGCGTGCCGCAGCAGCAGCAGCAACTAAGCAG